CCCCCATCTCTTTAATTTCTTCCTATAAGTGCTAGCAAAGAACATTTAAACAAATGTAAGAAAATGAAGACATGCTATGCAAACATAACCACAATCTGAGAAGTTCAGGCTTATTTAATTTCTTCAGTTTGCTTTAATCTAAACATGCTGTTATGTTTTAACTTGTAAATATAATTAATGTATCATATTGTTCACAGATACCAATTTTAACTAAATTGGTTCTCCTTTTAAAGAATCACTATTTAGCATCAGGACTGCACCAGCACCCACGATGGCACATTCCAGTCTACCTCCTCAGTGCACAAGTATAAAGCCAAGGACTGAGAGCAGCCAAACTAGGGAGGAGTCAGAAGGAAGCTGGTTTGAGCTCAGCACCTTCCTTAGCAAGCTGTGAGAACTGGGCTTTTAAATTTTAAAGTCTCAGTTTCCTCATGTGTAAAAGAAGGGTTCTGAGCTTGATACCCCAAATCTCTCTCAGGCATACATTTTTTTTTTGCTTCCAAGGATTCCTGCAATTAGTAAATAAATATAAGACATTTAAGTAGGAAACCAAAAGTAAAATTATCTGTTTTCAGATATGACCTTACATGCAGAAAACGCTAAGCATTCTACAAAACCAAAAATAAAACTATAAGCTAAAACTCACAAAGGAAGCCACACCATGTCAAGGATTCTTTTTTATAAACTGATTGATTGGAATTTTGTGATTATGGAGAGTTGGAATGTAGCAGATCTAGAATCAAATTATCTTGGACTACTTTTAACCCCCTAAATGCCATCCATTGCCCACTTGAGTCTGACCTAATGTCCTTGTGACTGTCACAGGAAACCTTTTGGGATGCATTATCTTAACAGAGCAACAGCTTTCACCAACCGAAAAGCTAAGCATGTATCAGACAACGTCTGAAACCTGTGGCAGAGATTTCCTTGATGTATTATAACCTTCCTCATTTTTTACCCTGCTTTTGAAGAGTGCCTTGATCTAGACTTTCTTTTGTTCTGTAGCTATAAAAATGTCACAAAACCGATACATTCTGGAAAATGGTATTTGGGATAACCTGAAACCATGTTTTCAGACTGGAGTCAAGTCTGGCTCCAGAATAAACTATCTTTTAATCTCTTTGAAGTGAGAGCTGAGTTTTTGTGTCAAAAACAAAACAAAACCCTTAGAATTAACAAATTAATTCAACAAAGAGGCAGGATGCTAGGTTAACAGAAAAAGTTAATTGTATTTCTAAATTCTAGTGAACAATCTGAAAAAGAAATTAAGAAAACAATTTCACTTACAAGAATAACAAGAACACAATATTTAGGAATTAATTTAACCAGACTTCTACAATGAAAGGTCGAAATGTTGTTAATAGAATTTAAAGGTAAATAAATAGAAATACATTCATACTCATGAATTTAAAAACTTAATATTGCTAAGATCTCAATACTATATGCAAACAATCTACATGACAGTGTTTACATGAAATACTTAAAGTAGCCAAAATCATAGAATATAGAGTGGGATTACTAGGACATGGGAAAGTCACAGGGATCAGATGGTTGGTAGCACAGACTTTTAGTTTTATGAAACGCAAGGAATTATGGAGATAGTGGAAGTGGTCACATGCTACCATGAATATACTTATTATCATTGGTCTGTATGTTTTTAAAGTGGATAATATGATGCATTTTATTTGGTGTACATTGTTTTACTGAAACTGAAAACTAGAAAAACAATTTCAGGATTGCATAAAAACAAAGGAAAAAGGAAAAATACCTAAAAATGAACAACATGAAGTTGGTGGAGATGGTGGGGTATATTTAGCATCCATGCTTCCCACCTCATTTCTCTACCACCATCACATCTATAAAAAGCTGAGTATGGGCAGATAAAGGCTAAGTTTGGTTTGCTTGTTAAATCTGGTTCCTTCATTTAAAGTTTATACAATCCTATGCCTTTATTCTTGAAGAATATGTAAATGGTTAATTCTAGAATTAAGCTTCATAAATTTCTTGCCCAAACTAAACTGCATATATTTGTTTTATGTCTATGAATTTGGATAATAGTTTACAAATAAATAAGGATTTGTAGAATTTTTCAAATCTGGGAAGAAGCATCGGCAATTTTATATTGGGTCTTAGCCCAAACAGTGCCATAACAAACGCTGAAGCCAGAAACTTTGGCTCCCAATAAGCTTTTATGCTTTATGGTAAAAGCTGCACAGATGAAGTACAGTGAAGTGGATAGACAGGAGGTGGTGCCAGATAATGCAGGACAATTAAGAAAGGAAGAGAGCTGCCAATCTGTACTGCTGAGAACCAAAGAATCTGACAGGATTAGGAATCACGTGTACAATCAAAACATGTTCTGACTTTCTTGTGACCCATGGATAGTAGGATTACTTTGACTGCTTTTTAATACCTGTATCTTTATCTGATCACACTCAAACCTACAAAATAACATCAGAAACCAACATATCTTATGTACTAAAGGATTGGTATCTAGATAAAACTAAGTAGACCCAAATCAGTCTTATTTACTTTTGTAAAACCCGAAATAATATAACTTTAAAGGCAATCAAATTTTATGTATTGCTATTGTTAAGACATTTGAATACAACCCTATCTTCAAAAGTCCAAGACCACATTTGAGTGTGTACCCTCTTTTTCTTAATTCCCTCTCCCTCTTTCAATGCTACTACTAAATCTACACTAAATTTTTTCTTAATTAACATTGCTTCATAGGTCTCATCCTGAGGTGGTTTTATGGTGTAGTTGTTTGAGGGTTTTTTTTTTCAGTATAGTTAAAAGTATTTTGGCTTCACTTGAGGAGAGGTTTCTACAAAGCACCCCTTGGGATACAAGTAGCAACATGGGGTATAGCTTATTCTGCTACCACTACCACTCACAAATGCTTTTTTAAAAAAACTCAAAGTATGTTTCAAAAACACACCTCTCCCACCCTATTTAATCACATGGGTTTAGCACAAATTTGCCACTGACCTGCATTTTATCTATATCCATTCCTACCTAGCCTTTCTTTACTTGTTTTCCTTTTCAAAAAGCTATCTTTGATACATTCATTTTGACCAGATTTCAGCTACATAAAACAGCAACAGGTAAGAAATACACAATCTCCAGTTGTGAGATGTAGATCCTAAAAACCAAACATTCCTTTCAGACACTCTATTCTTCAGGTGATTAAATGATAAATGATATTCTTTCGTATAATTAATATAAAATAGACTTAAAACTATTTTCAGAAAGGGCTGATACTAGTACATATTACTTCAAAATCAGGCTGTTTCTCCCTCTTGTCAGACTCAAATTCTATTGGACATATTTTGCCTCAATTATTCTTACTTTTTAACTACTTTAACTGTTATATGTTATCAGCCACAGTAGCTACGCCAGGTGCCTCCAAAATGCCTTCCAGAGATCATGCCTCCTGGGCTTTGAGGACTGTGTTATACGTTCCCTTTCTAATGTGAGCTGGAGTTAAGACTCCTAGCAAATACAACAGCAGCAATGATAGGGTATCACCTCTAAGGTTAGATTATAAAATACAGGTATCTTCCTTCAGTTTGGATCCTCTTTCCTGGATTGCCTGTAGTAGGGGAAATCAACTACCACTCTGTAAGGTAATGAAATGAAGAAACCCAAAGGGCAGAGAATCTCAGCCAACCAGCAACCACATGTATGTCCTTGGAAGCCGACCCTTACTCCATCTCAGTGGAGCTTTTCAATAATATCACAATTCCCAACTACAGCTTAACTGATATCTCAAGATACAACCTGAAATACCCTGTTGATTGTTGCCCTATTTCTTGACTCAAAGAAACCAGGATAATTGATGTTTGCTGTTGTAAACTGTATTAAGTTTAGGGATAACTGTTAACCAGCAGGGCATAAATAATGAAGTAACTCAGATAAGTGTCCATTTAGACAAACTTCATAAAAGTGGATGTTTCTAAATTAACCTGAATACAATCAATTTATTTATTCTTCATTCTGAGACTCCATTCTGTAAACCACTTTCACAAATGTAATAGGAAGTGTCTCTCTTAGGAGTGTTAAGCACCAAAGTTCAGACATTAAATGAAAGGGAAGAGGGCTTAGTGGGTGATTGCAAATCCATATTCTGAGCCTTGGGAAGCTACGTCGAAGTGATTGCTAGCTAGGAACAGACGGGACTACAGAGTGAATTGTATACCAGCCTGAAGTATATAGGAAACCCTGTCTCAAAATAAAGCAAAAAGGGGAGGGCTGAAGTAAAAAACAAATTGCATTCAATTTCATTAATAAAGGTAATGCTTTGAAGAGACCACTGGGGGGGTCCTTAAAAATAAACGTATGGCTTGTAAACCAAGTAGCCACAATTATTAATTAGTAAATACAGAACGCAAACTTAAATTATATCGAACAGGAATTGCAAATTGATATGATTTTTGTCTGATGAGAAATATGTATTAAGTATATACCATGTGGGAAGTGTAGTCTAGTCACAGAAAAACAAAAGACAAGAATTTAACCAATTTTATAGTCAAACTGACATCTGTAGCAACTAGCAATCAGCAGTGATCCTAAACTGTATATATTTGGATCCGTATGAATGGGGTGTCATAAAAAAAATCAAGAGCGCCTGGGCACCTAATAACACAATCATCATCATAAAAGCAACACATACACCTTAAAAAAGTAACCTTCACCATTCGTCATCTTTCTTAGAAGACGACAAGGTGTTGCTGCCGGTAAATCCCAAGTCGACCTCTGTACCAATGGCCTTGAAAGAGAAGGAGACCTACGCCCGCCTCTCGACAGCGAGACACCGTTTTCATAAGCCACCGCCGCTGTCACTCAGCATGTCGTACCGTGTCATTGGTCCTAAACGACAGCTTACAGGGCCGGTGCTGCCAAGTGGCGAGCACCCGCCGTCTTGATTCCCGAGCAGGAAAAGTGAAAGCGTACAGTGGAAGAGGCCTGGGAAGTATCGGGGCCGACGCGAGTACCTGAGCGACCTGCGATCTCCACCGCCGCCGCGACGACTCAGCCTCTGGGCGGGAGCTGTCAGCCGAAAAGAAAATGGCTCAGCCGGGAACCGATGCCCAAGCCATGGAGAGGCCTGTGCAGACCGCACGCGTTCACGCTGGGGAACACGAATGCTGCGGGAGCACCAGAAACAGCGCCAGCCTCCTGGAAACTCGCAGCACCTCCGCCTGCAGGAGCCGGAGGGGCGGACGGGGCAAGTGTTTGACGTTTCCTATTGTTGCCGGAAGTGACGTCGAGGAGGGAACCTTAAAGAATAAAGGTGGCACTTTCGCCGTTGCAGATTCTCCAGAACGTCTTTATTTCTCGCTTCTCATTCTGAACGATTATAGTCATGAAAATTGTGCCCATTTGAAACGTGACACTTACTATAAGGCGTATAATTGATAATATTATCTTGAGATTCAAACCTTCCGAGGAAGACGCGCAAACGGAGTATGGAATCTGCACCGAGGAATCGCAGAGTGTGGGGCAGCCCGTGGCTCGGAACGTTTAGCCGCTTTTCGCGGCGCGCTGGAACCCACGGTTCCGAATACAAACGGTCGGCGCGAGAGGAGCCCCGGGGCGCGGGCGCTAGGGCTCCGGGGCTGGACGCCTGGTTCCCGCCACTTTCTCGAGTTACTTGTGCTCCCTTCTCCTTGGTCCGATCGCCTTGGGAACCCTGCCCTTTGCCTGGCGGCTGCTGGCTGCGCCAGAGCCTGCGGACGGGCTGTGCTCCGTGGACAGGGTCTTCCGAGGTTCCGGAATTGTAGGCGAATGATCAGGTCTGCTGTTTCATCCTTTCACACCTAAGGGCAGGAGGGGAACCCTCGATGGGACTTGCTTATGTACCCAACTGGTAGACGCTTAGGAAGACTCGCAGTCCACCTCTTAGAATTGATGTGTGACTGACTTAATTCTGCGAGGTTAAATGGACGCTGATATCTCTTGGGTCTTTTCAGTCAAGAAGGATGATACATCTAGACTAGCTGGAGGAGTCGGTCCTTCATGTTTTCATGGTGCTTTTAAAGAATTCTCTATCTACTTTGAAGACTACAGGTTTTCCTCTCTATAGAAAGAAAACTAATTTTAACTTATTTATTTGTTCTAGACTTAGAGCTGCATCAGATTATTTTACAGAATTACTTGCAAGCATTATTTTTTTTATCAGTTTTCTATGTAAACACAGTGAAGCCACTGAGCCATTGCTCACATTTGGCCTCGCTAACTCCTTTTTTAAATCCCTCATCAAAACATTTCTCTTGCAACAGCATTTTTTTTTAGTATCTAGAGTACGGAGTGATTTTGTAAATTTAATTGCTGCAGATCTGTATTCCTCTATCTAAAAATATGGTTTTTAGACATTTGAGCTGGAACTCAAAATCATAGCTATTCATTGCAATTATTAAAGTCTAGTTATTTCATCCTGCACAAAATGATTTTTGAGTTCAGTGACACCTTATGTATGTAAAGACCTGTAACAACTATGAGATTGAGGTGGGGTTAAAATGAAAAAAGTCTTAGACTGCTGGGCTGGGGATCTAGCTCATTAGTAGAGCCACTGAGTGGTTTGCACAGGCCCTGGGTTTAATTCCCTTTCCCCACCAGTCCAAGTTGTGCTATGCTCACAACCTTTTCCAGAAATTCAGTCGGCAGATTTGATTTCTTCCTAATTCTTCAAAAAAAAAAAAAAAAACAAAAAAAACTCCGTAGACTATTGAGACCTTAATGATTGAATCTGTATATTTTCTTTCTTTAATGTCTTGTGATAGGTCATATAAAGTGAAAATGAAAATCAGTTTTATTTTTAAGTAATAAGTTTTTTTTATCTCAGAAATATGTTGAAGATCACTTTCTGGCCGTTTGACTAAGATCAAGTGTAAAGTATGTAACAGTACTTGATCGGGTTCAATTAATAATCTTGATTTTAGTGTTTACCAGTTTAAAAAATTAGGAAATCTTTCTTGCGAGCATTTTTTTCTATGATCTTCCTTTAACGTCTTTGTGTTTTTCTTTCTTGTCATCTCATCTTTTCCTTTCACCTACAGATCCAAGCTGTACTTGAATTTTACTCTTCTTCAAATATTTATTCTGCTGGTAATGAAGAGGATGTGTTCCCGGGACATACTTTATTGTCAGAAATTCCATTACCAGAGGTAGAAATAATATAAAGATAAATGTGTTCTAGAATATGAGAAAAAGAAAAGATACCACAGAGTATTCGATAAAAATCACTTGTCCTGGGAAGATGGGATAGGATTGAAAGGAAAGAATTGTGTTAAGTCAGATGGGTCTTAAGACCTGCAATCTTAAATCCTATGAGCAAGGAGGTTTTTAGTTACAGCAAGAGCAGTTCCCACTTCACCTTTTCTAGACAATAAAGGCCAGTGTGGGAAGTCTGTCTTACTATTTCCATATGTCTGTCTAGCCCTGGCATCTGCAAAGATGTGAAATAAGGCTTACAGTAATAATCAATATTTTGTATAATTTGATTTTAGGATCGCTTCCTTTTTTTTCTCCCTAAAGTCTTCATTGTCTAAATATGTTAATCTTTTTTTTATTAAAAATTTCCGCCTCCTCCCCGCCTCCCATTTTCCTCCCTCTCTCCCCACTCCTCTCCCCTCTCTCTCCAGTCCTAAGAGCAGTCAGGATTCTCGGCCCTGTGGGAAGTCAAGGTTCTTCCCCCCTCCATCCAGGTCTAGTAAGGTGAGCATCCAAACAGGCTAGGCTCCCACAAAGCCAGTACATGCAGGAGGATCAAAACCCAGTGCCATTGTCCTTGGCTTCTCAGCAGCCCTCATTGTCCATCATGTTCAGAGAGTCTGGTTTTATCCCATGCTTTTTCAGTCCCAGTCCAGCTGGCCTTGGTGAGCTCCCAATACATGCCCCACTGTCTCAGTGGGTGTGTGCACCCCTCGCTGTCCTGACTTCTTGCTCGTGTTCTCCCTCCTTCTGCTCCTCATTTGGACCTTGGGAGCTCAGTCCGGTGCTCCAATGTGGGTCTCTGTCTCTATCTCCATCCATCGCCAGATGAAGGTTCTATGGTGATATGCAAGATATTCATCGGTATGGCTATAGGATAGGGCCATTTCAGCTTCCCTCTCCTCAGCTGCCCAAGGAGCTAACTGGGGACATCTCCCTGGACACCTGGAAACCCCTCTAGAGTCAAGTCTCTTGCCAACCCTAAAATGGCTCCCTTAATTAAGATATATACTTCCCTGCACCCATATCCACCCTTCCTTTATCCCAACCATCCCATTTCCCCAAGCTTTCCCCATCCTCCCCTTCTCACTTTTTTCTCCGCATTTCCCCTTACCTTCATCCCACCCCACCCCCAAGTTCCCAAAAAACATAGTTGCCCTCCTGGATATTGGAAGTGAATATGTTAATCTTTGATCAGTGTAATTTAGTGTTTCAAAAATGGCGACCAAAATGCCAATGCAAGAGTGCTTAAAAGTATGTTCAGCAGCTTATTCTACACCATGTGTATAAGGAGCAGACTGGAAATGGGAATGGTATTCCTGCAGAGAGAGAATAGGGTGCCCATATCTAGGGAAATGACTGTGGAAATGGGTGGTGGCCCAGGCTTAGAATTTTGCAAATCGCAGGTTTGTTTACCTCAGAGGAGGTATCTGAAGGGACCATTTTTATGTCGGTAGCTGAAATGTAGATGGGGAAAAATCACATAAAGGATATTTCATCTAATTCTTGTTCTGTTTTGTTTTTAATGCCAGTGATTTTTTTTTAAAGGAGTTTAATTCTCAGAGAATTTGTTTCTCTGTGTACTTTTATAACTTTCTTGAGGAAGATGTTGGTGAACTATGAGTTTGTTTTGTTTTTGAACACAAGCATCTGATTGGCAACTACATGAAATCCAAACCATGGGGATAATAACTAAGTCTGTGCTGTTTGTCTTCATTTCTTATTCTTTATACAGCTTTTTATAAACATTCAAGATAACCAGTGATGGAGACTATTTCAGCTTGGTATATTTTTTTTCAGATTGTACCAGCTATGGTTTGGATAAAAAGTGGCTTCCATAGACTCTTATGGTTGATCTCTTGGTCTCCAGCTTGGGGTGCTAATTGACAGGCTGTGGAATCTTTTATAGGTAGAACCTAGCTAGAGGAAATGGCCTGGGGAGTGAAGATGCCTTGAGATGATAGCCTGATCCCACCTCTGTGCTGTCCTGTCCTCTGGACTGGTGTAATGTGAGCTAGCAGCCACCACACACTCCTGCCACCTTGGAGCTGTGTGTCTCCATGGTTTCCATGCTAAAAGGGTCTATATCCTCTCAAACACTGAACCAAGGGCCCACTTTTCCACTGGGTGTCATCCTTCTGTTAGGTGTTTGGTCACAGCACAGAGGTAACTATTGTAGTCCATTATCATCAAGGTAAAATATTTGGGAGAGTGCTAGATAAAATACATTGAATGAATATAAATATAAGGCAAACTTATTTTTGTGAGAAAAAATTAAAGGGTGTCGTTCATGTTAAGTTTATATTTAGGGTTTAGAGTCAGTACCATGCAGTAAGCACTTCACCCGCCACCAAAGTGCTGTTATAAGAAGTAGTGTGGTGTAAAATGTATGGGGCCTGGAAGAGGCGCACACGGAGTAGAACAGAGCAGCTTCCCAAAGCACGCACTTAACTGTACTCATGATTTTATTTTTAGATGAGAAGTTACAAGATTTTTTAGGAGTTGGAGCTGAATCTAATATTCAATAATGGCAACAGGTGACTTAAAAAGAAGCTTGCGGAAGCTAGAACAAGTACTTCGTTTGCTAAATTACCCTAATGAAGTGGATTATGTTGGGTAAGCTATAGTACATTTGGCATTTGAAACTTATTTGTGCTATTTTTCATTTTGCTGAAAGTTTGAGATAGTGTGTGACTCGATGGGGGAGGGGGTCTTAGATGAAAATAAAGGGCTAACAAGTTGGTTAAGGACCTGACTGCTAGGCCTGATGACCCTGACTTGCATTCTCAGGACTCACATTGAAACTAGAGATCCAGCACCTTCAAAATGTCCTTTGTGCTCCATAGCTGTACCGAGGGGTATGTGCTGATGTGCTGAGAATTAAACTGTTTCTCGGGTGGAGCTGCAGGTGCTCTTAACTACTGAACCATCTTCCAGCCACATTTTAAAGAATGGGGGCTGCCATCGGAAATCTCACCAATTAGAATTTTCCATACTAAGAGAACACATGGTGTAAATGTATGAAATCTATCTTCTGTACAGTGAATACACAAAGAAATAAATTTGCAAGAAATGGTAACATCTGTGATCTTATTGGTCATATTAAAATGAATACAATTCTGTAGAATGAGGGATGGAAGACTATGTAATTAATAAAATCCATTATATCCCATTGAGTTTACAATTATATGGAGAGAATATCTAGACTGATGTACATACAGTTTAGTGCTCAGCACTTCTATCAGGTGCCCTACCTCTGCCTGTGCTCTGGGCATGTGCACACATGTGACACACATACACAACATAAAAGAATCTTTTTAAAATTTTGGGGTGGAGATTTCTGTGGAAAATATGCTGTTTATATGTAAGAACAGTACAACTTTAGTTAACCAGTAGTACTGGCTAATTGAAGAAATAATTCATTTGCTGTTTTGTGCAGCAATCAGTAAGACATTTTGCACCAGTAAATGGCTAGACGATTAGAAGCCGACAGCACGAGGCAGCAGGTATTGAAAGATCAATATGGATCAGACAGACGATGGCTTCATGAAAATCGGCATTTGCCTAATGAGTTACAGTGAATAAAGACGGGCAAAGTGTAGAATGCCCTCCTAGACATGAGCACAAGCTAAGAAGGTGCCGTTCTCGTGCAAGCCGAAGGAGAATGTCTAATCTCTTTCCAGGGTGTTCCTCATTTGTAACTTAAAAGACTTCATACGATTAACCTTTGCAGGTTTGTGTAGGAACAACTGGGTCAACGTAACAAATGTTACAAACCCTTAAAATATTTTTGAGAGCTGTAGGGTAGTATTAGTAGGAGAAATAAGATATATCAAGTAAGAATAAGCTTTAGAAAACCAATAAAAACTGTAGAAGATAGACTGTACAGCTGTAGTGAGGTTTTGAGCACATGAAGATGAACAGTACTGTTTCATAGTCAGTGGTTTAGAGTAGGATATAGAATCTAGAGAGTCAGAAATTACATCATTATTGTGTCTGTAATAATAACTAAATTCCTGACAACGTTGCTAATTTTCCTTAATCAGCTAGCTTTTGGAACTGTGCTTACTGAGTCTTTTCCCTTTGCCCTGCAGTTTGATGAGAGGGGACACCGCAGCATCCTTGCCCATCATTAGCTATTCTCTTACCTCGTACTCCCCTTATATAGCAGAGCTTCTCATGGAATCCAATATAGAGCTCATAGGAAAGAACGATGTGCGCTTCACAGACACCGTCTATAAGGTATTTTGAGTTCACAAAACAATAATTACTTGAGAAACTATTGAATGATTTTTAAAATTAATACTTTAGTAATAATTACCGAAATACAATTGCATATTTCCTTAACAGTGTTATACATCCTGAAAAATGCATTGATAGGCAATTTTGCCATTGGACAAGCATCAGAGTGTGCTTGTACAGACCTAACTGTTGTCTGTACACAAAACCTATTGCTCCTGAGCTGCAGCTTGTAACATGTCCCTGTTCTGTATATAGTGTGAATTATAGTGCAATATAAATATTTATGTGTCTAAACATGTAAGAAATTTAGTTAAAATACTAGGCAATAGGGAAAAAGTCAGCTTTATTATAATCTATGGCCACTCTCATATGTTGTTATGTATCACATGTATGTTTATTTGACAGAGTGTTCTCATAGGTATTTATCTCATTAAAATGTGGTCTCTGTAGCTGACCTGAGCTCATGGGAGCTCACGGACTTTGGACCAACAGCTCGGGAGCCTGCATGAGACTGACCTAGGCCCTCTGCATGTGTTTGACAGTAGCTTGGTTTGTGGGGCTGCTAACAGTGGGATCAGGACATGTCTCTGGAGCTTGTGCTGGCTTTTGGGAACCTATTCCCCATGTTGGATTGCCTACCCCAACCTTGATGTAGGTGAAAGAGCTTGGTCCTGCATCAACTTGATATGCCATACTTTGTTGACTCCCATGGGAGGCCAGCCCCTTTCTGAATAGAAACAGAGGAGTGGATGGGGGAGGGGCAAAGGAGAGAGAAGTGGGGAGGAGAAAAGGGAGAGGGAAACTGGTCTGGATGTAAAGTGAAAGAAAAAAATTAATAAAAAAATGGGATCTGTATCGAAATTAAGTTGTAATTCATGTTTGCTTTGTCTGTTTCCTCTTGATTATGGCAACTGGTAAATGTTTGTCACTGGCTATAATTTGCCTGCCTTCTATGAAATTTTAGTAAAACTTTGTGTACTGCAGGGAGCAAGAGAGAGAACTTATAGTCCACAGGCTTCTGCACTTGTAAGATACAAACTGAAACTTCTGTAGTTTGTTCCTTGAGACCTGAAATCAGGTCTCATATCTGCAATAGCATCTGCATACCTGGATGGAGACTAACTTTGATGTCAGTTAGTTTTGATTGTTAAGAACCTTAATGTTTACCGTTAAGTTTGGTCAAGTACTGCGATTTGTGTGTATGTGTGTAGCTATTACCTTCTGACCAAGTGGCTATATAATTTTGAACTAAATATTACCTTTATTCCTTCACAGCTTCTTCGTGATCAATTTGATTATAAACCAATTTTGACAAAAAAACAGTTTATACAGTCTGGATTTGCTGAGTGGAAAATCCAAATTGTCTGTGATGTATTGAATTGTGTGATGAAAAAGCACAAGGAGTTGATTGGCTCTGACAAGGTGATTTAATGAATAGATTTCAGTAGAGACTTATGCTAAATACCCAAATATTTGAATAAATAGCAAATTATTTAAAAATGGAATTGTCACTTGATTTGCTGGACACAGAAGTTCTTTGTCTCATTAGACTTTAATGATTAGAGAAAGAATTCAAAGACAGACATAGAAGAGATGTAAGCATAGTAACAGAGTTGCTATCGAAGCGAAAGCAATAGTGCCTTTCTTCCGGGATGGGAATGGCAGCTAAGCGGGTAAGTGAATATCCCAGATGCCCAGGCATCAGTGTTTTATGAATGGAAGGGAATTCTTCTGTTAATGCTATATGCATAATTGTGGAATTTCCTAGGGATTTCAGGGACGTTTCTAGGAACTAGGGTTAGTTTGGACCAAACATGGGTTGTTGAGAACCAAGATGGAATTTGAAGGAATGAGAATGTAGAAACACAGAGATGCTGAGGAATCCTCCCTCCAAACTTTTAGGTCTCGGGATTTCTCTACAGGACGTACATTATTTCATAGCTAGCTTCCTGCAGAGTACAGGCCGCTGCAATACCCAGATGTCCTAGTCTGTACCTGGATAAGGCCAGGAGCACCTAGTTAATTCTAAATCCCATTGGTTTCACAGCCCATGTGTCCGATGCCATAGTTGCTGCATTGTCCACATATGGGGCATAACCCTCTCAAAGGTCATTATATCTCTGATAGCAGCCACATTTCTTACATATCTGTGACCTGGAACTAAGTTAACAGTTCAAATATAATGTATTTTGTCACTTTTGCTTGTTTTATTTTCTTATTTGTTTTTAACTGTGTAGCCCGGGCTGGCCTTAAACTTTCTAGGTAACTAAAGCTGGCCTCAGTCCTCTTCCTCCCACTTCTAAATATGGGATTAGAGCACCACCATACCATTCTCACTTAAACTTACAATAAACAAATAAGCAAAAGCATGTTTCATTACTTTCACTATTTGCTGTTATCAAAAATAAGTACTGAAATAACAGAATTTAAATGTACATCATACTTTTCTATAAGATATACTATTTTGTCTAATTCTTTTTTTTTCTTAGAATCCATCATGCCAAAAAAAGAAGAACATCTCTGAAAAGCCAGAACCTTGTTTGAGCAGTGAGAACCCCACTGTAGAGGCTATTGGCGTTGACATCACTGGCAGGTTCATGACTTCAGGGAAGGTGTGAAAATAGAAAGAACAGAGCATATCTGAATGTAGTAAAGATTCTTCTCTGACTGGCATTTGGTGACACATTGTAGTCAGATAACACAGTATGCAAGGCATTTTTATTAGTCTTTATTAGTTTGTTTCATTTCTTTATATAAGTACTTTGGTCATATCCACCCCCACTGCCCTTCCCTTCCCTACCCTCCCCTCCCCTCAAATAGTCTCAGCAGAAGAGTATAAAATTGAAAAATCAATTGGACTTTATCTTTCTAATTTTCAATCATTTTAATTTCCTAGATAAATTTAGTAAGGTTATATTACAGAGGTGTTGACATCTACTCTTTTAAAATGTGTGTGCATGTGTTTTTCTTTTAATCTTATATGTATGTATACCAGAAGGGAACAGAAGAGGGTGTCATATCCCTTGGAACAGGAGTCATGGGTGGTTGTGAGGCTCCAAGTGGGTGCTGGAAATGAAGCCTCTGTCGTAAGTGTTCTTAACCTGAGCATCTTTGCAGCCCCTGAGAATATGCTCTTAATTACAAACCTGATCATCCTAACAACCCCTTAGTAACTAGAGTGATCATAATGATCCACTTAGATGCATTAATAACCTAGAATATAGATTATCTAATAACTGCTTTGGGGTATTCTCTATTACTAGATATAGATTGTCTCGGCCTTTGTCTGCTTTGAGCATCTGTGGCTAAATGAATCTAATACGTGTAGAGATAGCATTTTTCCATATCCAAGGGAACTCAAAGCTAAAATGCTATTTGCATAATAAATGTGTTTCCAGCAATTTTACTCCTGGGTGAGAGGACAGAATACAGACAAATAACCAGCATGCAATTAGATAAAGATGTTAAATGTTTCTAGATAAAGTAAAATACATAGAATTATTTATTCCCTAATCCAAAATACATGACTAGCAGAGCCTTAATACCAAGAGCTTGAATAACTGCTACAAGACTGATAGAATTTATAAATATATTTCTTTATCGACAGAAGGTGAGTCAGTGCTGAAGCTAATTGTCTTCTTCCTGGTGCCTCATGTCATATGGATATATTTTATGATTTCTTTATCACATGATAGGGGTTTTCAGTGTCTGTACGGACAGTGCATAGGCATAAAGAGTGGGTAAAGAGTTAATGTGAGGTCCTTGTTAGTACTTCCCCCTTTTCAAATTTTGAACTTTTAGCTGAAGGTAAAATATATATTGTGATTTGTTCAATAGAAAATATTATAGTGTGTCCTCACTATAATACTTATAGTGATATTTATAGTAATATTTATAATATAGTTGTTGATTTTTTTGATTATTTAACCTATAAATTATGTCACAACTTTTGTTTATTTGTTTATTCATTGACAGAGTCTCACTGTATAGCTCAGGCTAGCCTGGACCTTATAATTCTGCATGGGCTTACTGAGTGCTGGGATTATGGTTGTGTGCTACCACACCTAATATATTTTTTTTCTTCATTTGTTTGTTTTTAACTTTCTATCATGTAACACTTCAAACATTTACAAAAGCACAGAGCATCCTGTTTCAACAATTAATCAAATCTTTACTAATTCTCTTTCATCTTTTCTATAACCACTTTCTCCAGGATATTGAAAAAACCTAGATTTTAGTGTTTAACCTAAGACATAAAAATGCTTTTAAAAAGGTGAACCACAATTTCACCAATACATTAAAATATATAAATATTGACATGCTGTGATACATTGTATGTGGTAATTTAAATGTTTTAAATAGTTATAGTCTAGAGAATTACTCTGAATATACATAAAGTAGTTGTGCAGTTTCACAGTTAAACTAGTTCTTCCATGCTCGTCTCTGTACAGAAAAAAGCTGTGGTGATCCGTCACCTGTACACGGAAGACAGCGCTGACATGCCCGAAGGGACAGGAAGTTCGGCAGAAGTGAGTGAAGGGTGTGAAGATTCAGAGCAGACCTCTGACATCATGATTGCTGAGGAGCAGGTCTCCAATGTTGTGATTGCTGACGAGCAGGCCTCTGACGTCAAGACTGAGCTGAAAGTAAGGGCCGAGGACCTCTTTGACAGATTTCTTCAGTATCTGATTATTTCAGTGTTTGAAAGTTGGAATATTTAAAAGTTATAATTTAATAAAACTTTAAATTATGACATCTGCGTTATAACTTAAGAGCCAGTCAGTCTTACTAAATGTGATTCGGTGAATTCCAGTTGTCAGATCTGATTGGAGGTTTCCCTGAGTTTGAAGTACAGCAAACAGAGGTAAGAGATTGTATGCCCAGGGAAATTACTCTCCAGCCAGAGACTCATGCCGCTTTGCACAGTGCAGTTTTCTACCACTTGTTTCCTCTATTGGCAAATAGAAAAAAGCTTGGCCTTTTATTCCTGTTTTCTCTTTGGTGAGTCTTTGCTGTATTTTGTTCAATAGAAAATATTATAGTGGGCCGTGGTCTCACTGTGTAGCCTTGGCCAAAGTGTAGTCCAAAGTGGCTTCAGATTTGTGGTAAACTCCTGCCTAGCCTTTTGTGTGGAGCTTATAGATGTGTGCTATCCTACCTGACTGCTTGCTGTCCTGTCGTTTCTATTACTCCTTGCTGACACAAAGACCATTATGTGTATAATCCCTACCGTTTCTGCTAAAATGCACATATATTGTCATTTCCATACACTTTGGATTACAGTTGGATTTATGAAATTTTATTTATGGGCCTACTTTTTACTATCTAGGTAATCTGCATATTGTCACTTGCTTATTTCCTCTTAGATTGTCTAAAGAAACTGGCAAATGATAGTTGAGTTGTACTCCTTGTCTAAGAGCATCAGAGAGGTTAATTCACAGGTAGAGGCTGTGAAAATGAAGTCATCAAAGCCACATCTGACAGCCTTCTAGTAAGGCCCACTGCTGTCTGCCTGGAGGGCTGTTAAGGCCCCCTGTTCTCTACAGGGGGAGCTCCTAGTTCCATACTGTGTTCCTTCCTTAGCTGTGAAAACAAAAGAAGTGGAAGGACATTGATCCTTTTCAAAGGAATGTGACTTCAGATCATCTGGAATCATGTTGTCATTTCAGGACGTATGTGATAATCCTGAGATTATTGCACTTCAGATCGCACTTGCTGAATGCCAAGAGAAGCTTAAGAGGCTGACCTGGGTAGAGAAAAGGCTTGAGTGTTTGGAAGCCACAGCAAAAGGGAAAGTGATGGTCGATGAGAAGGCCTGGAATAACCTCCTGAGCAGAGTCACTCTGCTTGAGACAGAGCTGCTGCTGTCTAAGAAGGTAGTAAACATGTAAAGCTTTCCTCGAGTACAGTGAAGTGCGCATCTTAGTGACATCTGTATTCTTTTGGAAACCACTACACATGAGGCTCCGCAGGAAATAGAAAATGTTTGGTTAGAATAAAGTCTACTTAAGTTTAACAAGTTTTCTTATACTTCCTGCAGCTATTTTTTTTTCTATCAAATAAGATAATTTATGAGACCTGTAAGTTGAACTTTTCTGATTAAAAGTGCTTGGAATAGTTAGAGTGAGGTAAGAGTTTTTTGAAAAACTTAAAATTATTTTGTGTATTTTAGTAGGACAAAGCTTCTTCAGTTTACAGGAAAAGTTGTAGAAGACTTAAAACTGAAACTTTTTTTACACATTAACTTCAATCATAAGGTGAATTCATAGAAACAGTTACTAAATTTACTGTCTTAGTTACTATTCTATTACTGTGAAGAGACACCGTCACCAAAGCAGCTCTTTTGAAGGAAAGCATTTAGGGGCTGGCTCACAGTTTCAGACTAAGTCTGTTATCAGCATCATGGCAAGGGGGATGACTGGCACTGAAGCAGTAGCTGGGAGCTACATCCTGATCCGCAGGCTTAGAGGGGTGGAGGAAAAGAGAAACTGAGCCTCACATGGGCATTTGAAAGCCCAAAGCCCTCCTATTGATGTGCTTCTTCCAACATGGCCACGCCTGCTTCAACAGGGCCATACCTCCTGATCCTTCTCGAATAGTACTGCCCCTCCGCCAGGTGACTAAACATTTAAACACATGAGCCTATAGGACCATTCTTATTCAGACCACCACATTTACCATTGCCTTATGGAGTCTGAGAAATATGTCTTATTTCTTAGGGTTTTGGTTTCTAGTTGTCTTATTTTTAGAGACTGGAGTTATAGATTCAAGGTTACTCTCTGCTTCCACACTTAAGTGGTTGTTTTTTTTTTTTATGCAGACAAAAAATTACTTATTATAGGTAAATAAATTTATTAAAACTAAACATTCCTTGTGCTTTGCTTATATTTTATGTTAAGTAGCATAAATTGAATCACCTTTATTCTAAATATTTACCTGTACGTTCCAGAATGAATGCGTAGAGCTTAATGCAGCAAGTGAAGACTCTGACTCTGTTAGTGGCTTGGATAATGTGCCCTTTGGTGAGTTCATAAATTGTATTAGTACTGCTGACTTGCAAATATTTTCTGAAGAATAGTTTTTATGGGCCTTTGGCATCTTTAGCATTCGTGTGTGTATGTGTGTGTTCACGTGTGTTTGCATGGAAGCCAGAGATTCGTTTGAGACGGGTTTCACTATATTAGCTAGGTCATCCTTGAACTCATGGTTCTTCTCAGTTTCCCAAGTACATGTGATTTCAAGCGTGCACCACAGAGTGGTACACAAAAGTGTGCTTTGAAATTATTAGAGAATTTTTAGCATCTATCTCCATATGTATACAAAGTATTAACTCATTTTTAACTATACCAATAACCATTTTAAGTTAATTTATCTGTAAATAAAATTTTAAATATTTGACTATATTGTGTAGTGGAAAGATATCAAATGTACTTTCTTCACAGATAAACAGTACAGGATGGGGGCACCAGCCAGTACATACCGCTCATCTGGCTATAGCACAGTGTCACCAGAATCAACGTCCAGGGGCTCCACTATTCATTGTTGTGGACTGAAAGATTTTTCGGAGGTAAGAGAAGCTGTCCGCTGCTTAGATGATTTCTAAGGTAGAGAAGAAGAAAGCATCATTTTTAGTAAATGCTGTGTAGTATATGCTGTTGGCTAGAAAAATGCTAAAATTCTAAGTTTCCTCTCTCAAGGGTTCTTTGTGTTGACGAGTCTTCAGAGTGTGTTTCATTTATTCATGGTCCATCTTTGAGGATTGTTTACTTTGAGAAATTGCCTAAATTTGTTGCTTTTTAAATTAAAGGAAACAACAATCCAGAAAATGGAAAGGATGAAAAAAATGTAAGTAACAGAAAGAGGCAACAGAAATCACTTCTCTGTAGGGAACTGATTGGAGTGTGGTATGCGGATGTACGCATGTGTTTTAGACCTTGTGAGGCTCAGTCAGTGTGGAATTTCCTTTAAGACTCCAGTGGATAGTAAATCTACTTCCAGTTGGGTGTGTGTGAGATGAGTCACTGCTTTGGTGTAAAACACAATTCACAGAATTTATCAAAGGGCAAAGATGCTTTGGTTGATCATTAATTCAGATTTCTCTACTTCTGATAATTGATTGACCAAAACATTACGATAGTTGGGAGACATTTTTAATATTATGATAGGCTTCAAAATTACGTTGTGTTTCCAGTGAGCTATTGATCGAGTACCACGATGATGCTTTTACTGGGGAAAAATAATATTATATCTAATTTTAGCAAAGAGTGGTTTAAAGGAAATAAATGATGAAATGGTGTCAAAATGTTTTATACCCTACTACCTTAAAAAACCACAAAACTCTTTGACATTTGGAAAATTCTAAAATAATTTATGCTGCAAGAATTGGCTGATTTATGTTTGTTCTATTTCTGTGTATTAATATTAACTCTCCCTAAAATAAGGAAAACACTCAGGTTTATCTTAGGCTCAGAAGCATATGTCTAACAACTTCAAGCCTATTACATTATGAGTTGTGCACTTAGCTGATACATCATTTGTTCTATTTCAGGTTTGAAGAGACTGCAGAGCTACTGAAATGCTCAAGTCGCTAACTATAGAGGTTTTTGCATGAACGTCTCTAGGACTTTGGCTACTTATATATGGTATATTTAAGAATCCCTTTTATAATTTTAATATATTGTAATATTTTATTAAGAATTTTAACTCTATTTGATAATTGAGGTTTCTTTCTTTCCTAAATAAATACTTTTAATATTTTAAGCTGTCATTGTAATGATTTTCTCTTTCAATTTTCTTGGTAACTTTCTGTTCCTGAATATTGCTGTTACAGAATGAAGTTGGTACAGCATGCTCTGTATTTTCGTGTTTTTACTGGCTGTGTGCTAAGTAACATGTTTTTAGAAGTAAGGGCTGGAGGACCATTGTCTACATCCTACTGAAGGCGTTGCACCTAGGACTTGTATATTGTCCCCAGGAGGCAAGCTCTCATATGTACAGTCTTGCAGTCTGTGCAGGTGAATAAATTTTAATGCAAAGTTAAAATGTTCACTGAGAACGAAACAAGTGCAGCTGTGTCTTCTTTATTAACACTGCCATACTTTGGGCATGGTTCTTTAGTGTGCTCCCTATGGGAAATGTGCAGAGTGCCTAAAACCATCAGCACAGACATAGAGGGAGGCCATCCATGTGATACACGGCGAAGGAGATTTTCACTTCTTAATAATGGAAAGTTATCAGCTTTTAAGGGCAGAAAAAGTTTTAAAGTTAAATTGAAAGAAAATTAAAATCACTTAGAAAGTTACTATGTAAATGTCCTTCTAACTTTGTAGATAAAAATGTGATACTAATTCTGGGTGACAGTCAAAATCATGGAAAGATTTTATATTTTATGTTAGTCATCTCATTATATTACACAATTTGACTTTACTGTTGAGTGAAATATTCATTTGTTATAAATAGAAGTAGCTTGAAGCAGTTTTTGGTACTTTAATATTTAGTGTTTACACTTAAGAACTGTAATATTATGTTAGCATATAGAAGCCTATAACCTTGAATTTAGTAACATTTCAAGAGAATTTCCAGAATAAATCCTGTTGACCTTATTTCTTTTAATTGCAAGTACACTTAGAAAAATCAAGAGAATACAATTTTGTAAATGCTGGTACACCCCAATAGAGCACCAGCATGGGCTCACAGTGCCACCCAGTGGCTGCCACTCCACTCTCCCTTTTTAGTAAAGCTCATAAAACTCAACCCTAATTTCTCTCTCTCTCTCTCTCTCTCTCTCTCTCTTTCTCTCTTTCTGACAGGGTGTCCTGGGACTCACTGTAGAACTGGAACTCTGTAAAACTCACAGAGATCTTCCTGCCTCTGCCTTCCAAGTGCTGGAATTAGAGACGTGTGCCACCATGCCTGGCTTTGGGGAATATTCCTAATCTAATATATTTATAATATACAGAATAATAGATACTGAAATTTGAAATTTTATGTTAGAAACTAGAAATCTGGAATATAAATTTCTTAGGATTCTTTCTAACAACTTTAATAAAAACAAATTTATAATAGTGTTGTATACTTAACATTTACCAAGAAACTTATTTTGAAACAACTTCTAGAAAGATATAGTATAACTCATTGAAATTGTTGAAATTTCAACTGGTACTATAATGGAAGTTACAACGGAATACATTCGTTATAAAACTTACAGCTCTTTCAAGCCATTCTATACATAGAGCTTTCTGTAATTGACGGTACCTGGGGAGGCATAAAAGCCTAAAAGGACCTTGTCAGTTTACACAAGGCAACACTTCGTTTAGTTAAAACATTTAGAGCTTTGATTCTACAGTTTAATAATCCCCGCTTGTCTGTCATTTTCTCTGAGACTTAATACTGCAGACTAAGGGCGATGCAGGAAACAGCACGAAACTTGAAACTTCAGAACTAGAGCTTAATCGCGGTGTCACCTGAGCTTTCCTGCTGAAAAATCACAGGTTTCTTGTTAACAACAAATGGCTAGAAACGGTCCAGGGCCAGCAGCAGCGGCCATGTTGAGAGCACTCAAATTGATTTTTATCGGGAACATTTGAAAAGCTGTACTTTTGTCATGATTTCCAGGAATACTTGCAGGAATAAGTAGCTATACAAGTCTCTTTTTCTTCTCTAAACCACTAAAGTGAAATCTCTCCTCGTTTTTGTGGTGCATGGGTTTGAAGACAGCTCCTCACATATTAGGTTAGTATCTATCAATAAGCTAATTTCCAAATTCTCTTATTTACATGTTGAAATAAGGCCCTGGTAAGATAGTGAAGCTGTACAGAGAAACCCTGTCTCAAAAAAGAAAGAAAGAAAGAAAGAAAGAAAGAAAGAAAGAAAGAAAGAAAGAAAGAAAGAAAGAAAGACAGACTGGCATTGAATTCATGATTCTCCAGCTTTATGATCCTTAGTAGCTAGAATCCTAGGAGGTGACCCCATGTTCCATACAACATATGTTTATTTATATTTGATGAGATTTCTCTATATTGCACAGATTACTCTGCAGCTGGGCAGTACTGATTTGTCTGACTCTGAATTTTATGAACCTACAAACACGTGCTGCCAAACTTAGCTCAATACTAAAATTTATCTGCTTTTGACTGTTAGGACAGAGGATTTATGCAACAAACAACCCAAATGGATGAACTACTTGAATTTTAAGTGATGGAAGAGTGCTAAAAAAAGATGGGGCTGGAGAGATAGCTCAGCAGTTCTGAATTTTTCTACTCTTGGAAGAACTGGGGTTCAATTTCTAGCCCTACATGGTGGTGCACAATTGTCCTTAACTTCAGTTCTAGGTGCTCTCACACCTTTTTTTTTTTTTTTTTTTGACTTTTAGGATACTGGACATATATGTGGTACACAAACATACATTGGACACAAACAAAGGAAGAAAGAGAAAGAAAAAAGACAAAGAAGGAAATGTCTGTGAGACAACTGATGACAAGAAGGCTAAATATTTGTAGTCTCAGTGGTTGAGTTCAGTTTGTATGCATCTGCTGTACAACCAACTTACTAAATCATTAGATTATAGTTCTTTGGTTAATGTAGTGTTAGGTATATGGAAGTTTCCATCCCACCTAGTCCTGCAGCCATTCAGTCCCAAAGAAACACACAGAGGCTTATATTAATTATAAACTGTTTGGCCTCTTAGCTCAGGCTTATTATCAGCTAGCTCTTACAACTTACATTATTAACCATGTGACTTGGTACCTTTTCTCGGTGCAGCATTTTCATCTTGCTTCCTCTGCATCTGAGTGGCAACTGCAGACTGAGCCTTTCCTCTTCCCAGAATTCTCCTAGTCTGGTTACCCCACATATACTTCCTACCTGGCAACTGGCCAATCAGTGTTTTACTAAACCAATACAAGTGACAAATCTTTACAGTGTAAAAAAAGCATTATTCCACAGCAATGTTGAAATTTGGAGAGATCCTTAGAGGCCCCTGAATTTCCCATTTCTTTTCTCATAAACTTCTTGCCTCCCAACTCTTAACTCTAGTGTATGAGGACAATTTTTTATGGTAGAGTGCTGCTTTCTGCATCCCAGTCAATAGTTTCCGCTATTCGCTTGTTGACTTAAAAACTTTTTCTCTGCTGTGAGCTGAGACCGTGACCTGACACATTCTGAGAATTTGCTATGCCGCTGATGCCCTAGCAATCTATCAAAGCTTTGAGTTACCATGGCTGGCATATTTATGGAAAAAAAAAACTTTTAAAGAAAATTGGAATAACTGTTGATAATTATTAAAACTGTCTGAGCTACAGTGGAGTCAGTAAAGCTATTGTCTAGTTAGCTCTGCTACCTTCTAGAAATGTCATTCAAAGGTAAGACCCTCATCCATACATTATTAACAAATGAATTCACAGTGAAAGTTCACTGAGAACCTACAAGACCCACTCTAACCCCCCAAACCCACTGAGCCTATCACCCTCCTCGTGGCCAAACATCCAGCTCAAGATCAACAGGCCGTAGAGACACAAGCACTGCCTGCGCCAATTGGAAGAAGTGAGTGACAGGTCTCTCAGCTAAACTACCCCAATCCCTAGGTCCTAAGCCCCAGGGCACATTCCTTGCCCTTCTCCCTCCCATCTCATCCCCAGTAGCCAACTAGCAGGTAGGAGTCCTGCTGACAGGATGCTCTAATACCATCCCCAATCACTGGACACTGTAACCTGTAAGACCCACTCTGCTACCCAAACCCAGTGAATCCATTGCCTTCCCCATGGTCAAACATCCTGCTCAAGATCAGCAGCCCCTAGAGACACAACCACTGCTTGCACCAATTAGAAAAGAGATGGATAGATGGCAGTGGAAGAATACATTCAGTACATAAAGAGCAGTGTGGCACCACCAGTACCTAGTTGTACAACAGCAAGACGTGAACATTCCAACACAGGCGAAGCAGGAAAAAAATGACCTTAAAAATAGCTTTATAAAGATGACAGAGACCCTTACAAAGGAAATGAGAAATCCCCTTAAAGAAATCAAGGAAAAGACAAACAAAAAATTGGAAGGAATCAATAAATCCCATAAGGAAAGACAAGAAAAAGCAATCAAGCAGGTGAAGGAAACAGTTCAAGACTTGGAAATTGAAACAGAGGCAATAAAGAAAACACAAACCAAGGGGATTCTAGAAATGGAAAATCTGGGTAAATAAACAGGAACTAAAGAAGCAAGACTAACCAACAGAATGCAAGAAATGGAGAAAGAATCTCAGACTTTGAAAATATGATGGAGAAAATAGATTCATCATTAAAAGAGAACGTTAAATCTAACAAATTCTTAAGACAAAGCTTCCAGGAAATCTGGCTCAAAGGCCTGGAAAATATATTCAACAAAACCATAGAAAAAAAAACACCAACATACAGAATAAAGAAAGAATACTAAGAACTACAAAGAAAAACAAACAGCTAACATATAAAGGCAGAATTACACCTGACTTCTCAGTGGAAACCATGAAAGCCAGAAGGTCCTGGACAGACATTTTGCAGACACTATGAGACCACAGATGCCAGTCCAAACTACTACACCCAGCAAAACTCTGTCTACAAAATTATTGTAGACAGAGAAAGCAAGATATTCCATGATAGAACCAGATTTAAACAATAACTACAAACCCAGCCCTCCACAAAGTACTAGAAGGAAAACTCCAACCTGAGGAAGTCAGCTACAGCACAAAAACACAGGCAATAGAGTGATCTCACAGCAGCAAATCCCAAAGAAGG